ATAATATTACAAGAATATTTGTTTATGTTTAAAATTAGCCCTTTTCAACCTTAAATAACACGGCCAAATTTCAACAAAATCAGCTAAAGGATTATTAGATTTGTTACGAAAAAACGCTTTTTTAAAAAAGTTTGTATCTTGAAAACGAAGCATTACCAGAACTATGTTTATAGAAACTTTTCGTCTTAGAATCACTCAAAGAATGACCCTTTGAAGTTTCGCCACGTAGGTACTTAAATAACACCTTGTATAAAGTAGTCGTTAAGAAAATTAACAACTACATGAGTCAAACCCTTCGAAGTGGGGCTTGGATCACTGACGGGAGTATTTAATGGAATAATAAAATCCATTCAAGTATTCTAGAAATCGATTTTTTCTATTTCGTATACTTCTATAATAAAATTTGGTTTAATGGCGTAGCCATATTATCGGTAAAAAATTAAAATATAAAAAAAAAATCATGCGAAAAAAAAATTGAATAAAAAAAGATCTACTCTAGAACCTGTTTCATAAATTTGCATATTGAAAAACGATTTTGTTGAAAATAAACCCTTGCCAATGTTTTTTCCCAATTGACAAACCGTACAATTTCTCAATATTAACACACTCGGATTTTATTAATTTCTAAAGCTAACGAAATAACAAGAATTTTATTTAAAAACTTTTATATATAAGGTGTTTCAACAGAAAAAGGTCACCCCGGATTTCTTTTTTTTTTTTTTGACGTACACTTCTGTTTATACAGTTTTATTTTCTGGAAATTCTTTCAAGTTCATTTAATTGGCAATTGTGTTTTAACGGATCCTTTCTATTTTATTCGAAAAACGAGTCATTTCCAAGTCATTATTTTTTTTATCCTAAAATAAGCTTACTGCATACTTGAATAAATAAAAATTAATTCTCAAACTGGTCGTTTTACTAAAAAATATGCAGACCAATATTTTTTGCTACAAAGTTTTAAATGCTATTTGCTATCACTCAGAAAACATAACATTTTTACACCAACTTCTATCAATGTTTTTTATGAATTGAACAGTTTTGGAATTATTTTCTACTTATTCAAGTACCTATACAGTAAAGTTTATATTAGACAAAAAAGTAATAATTCGAAAAGAGATCTTTTTTCTTTTAAATATAATGTAGCCAGGTCTATGCACAATTGCACGTTATATATTTTAAAATGCAAGCTTCCTAGTAACAGTCTTGTATTTAGTCCCACAGAATAAAGCATGGGAATTTCTTTCGCAAAGTTTTTAACCTCCAGTGGATTTTTGCAACTGCTCTTTATCTAAATTTGAAAGTGACTAGTGAAAATTTTATTTTGATAATGAAAAGTTACAGAGCCCAAGAGAATTTTCGAGAAGAAAAAGTTTCAAATTTGCAAGATAAAAATTGAAATTAAGGTTGAGAACTCTGATATGTCGAAATGGGTTGCACATATTTGTGTGTAATATATTTTTTTTTAATCAACCGATAAATACGAACAGCCATCCTTCCCATTTTTGATTTTTGACATTTTCTGTTTAGTTATTCCTATTTAAATTTAAATTTGACTCTAATGTTCTATTTTTCAAACTTTATAACACTGCAGCTTTATAAATAAAGGAATTTTGAGAAAAATACAAACGGGCTGTTTGTATCTATCAGTTGATTATGAAAAAAAAACTTTGCAAATATTTTCGCAACCCCTTTAGAGTCCCCGAGCTGGCAAACACTAATTTAATTATTTATTTCGTAAATTTCTTTTGAATTTTTTTCTTATAAGTTATCTTGTGGACATAGAAATCAAAGACTTATAGGTTCAATCCACATAACTGCTAATGGCATTTATATGAACACGATAATAATGTTATACACAGTCAAATAAACGTGTAAAAATTTTGACTTTCCATTATAAATAGAATAGAAATTTTCAAATTCAACAACAACTATTAACTGCTGTGGTCCCTCTAAATTTTATTATTGGCAGGTTAACACTTTCAGCAGTGGCCTTGCTAAAACCAAAATTGGAGCTTTAAAATTTGAAAACGGTTCTTAATGTTCTAGTTATCCACATGTGTATTGCTGGTTGCATACATTTCCAAAAAGGTTTCTGCAAAGTTGCCGTTACCATTACAAAAAAATGTGCTTTAGATATAAAGCGAAAATATTTTAAATACAACTGCGTATTTTCAATTTCACAAAAGTGTATTTTGCACAATGCCATAATACTTGTTACATTTTTGATCATTTGTATTTAGTAAAACACTTATACCAAGATCGATTAAAGACGAAATAAAAAAAAACAATTTCTAGAACAGTTGTCGTTTTTTATTTTCTGTATTAAATATTTCCGCCACTTCGAAAGATTTGACTCCTGTGGTTGTTAATTCTCTTAACGACTACTTTGGTAACAACAATATTAAAATTTATTATAATACTATTTTCGTTATTTAAAATCCTACTCTAGAACCTGTTACATAAAATTGCATATTGAAAGACGATTTTTTTTTTAATTTTTCGAGGAACAAACAACGCAACTCTTTTTCAAAAAGACACGTTTTTGTTAAAAAATTAAAAAACATTTCAAAAAACTAAATCTGTATTATTTATATATTTTTTTATAAAACTACATCGCAAAAACGAACAAAATGGGAAAAAAGTTAAATTAAAAATTTTTTACCCAAATGCTCATAATTTCTTGAGGGGTGGAAATAAAAATTGGAAAAAAAATCTTGAAAGCTATTCTAAATGTAATGTAATATTTTCGAGATATCAGGGGTGACAATTTCTATTTCAATTTTTTAATTAGCAAATCCCGTTCAAAATATTTTCGTTATGACAGTTCTCTTTGCGAATACCAAAATCATATCTTAAAAAACCGTACGGGTCCCATACTTAATTTTCAAAATAGAACTAATTTAATTTTCACCAACCGCCACTGATCATGAGGAAAATTTACCGATTTGTGGGAAATAAAAAATAACTATTTACTTAAAAACATTTTTCCTGTATAGGTAACAAAATTGCAATAAAGTTTAGTGCCTCAATAGGGTTCCAGTTAAAGCTACATTAAATAATAAGGAAGTCATTAAGGAAATTATTAGCTAACGAACGAATAACATCCTGAAATGATTTCCAACAATTGATATTCGTAAGTAGGAAATGAAAGATGCTTGCAACAACGTAAATTGTAGATATACTATTCTCATGTGAATGAATTTTGACACCCTAAAGTTACAACAATTGAAAATAAAGACATTTGTAAAATAACGAGCATGCATTGTTTAAATTACGATAAGAATCACACATTTTGTTTCAAAAACAAATAACAGTTAAAATAAAAATATATATTGTTAGTTGCCTTGACAATATAAAATATTGTATTTATGTCACATCGTAGCGAAGTGTCACAAATACATTTATTGGCGATTTATATTATTATAACTGAGAAGTGCTTATCAAAAGTTTGACCATTTTGGAGAAGTTGCTGTAAAAAAGGGCAAAACCCGGTGAGTAAGAAAATAATTTTTATGTAGCTTATTATCTCGAGAAGTGGCTAGTGTATACGACAAACATTTTCTCTGATTAAAGGACCATTACTGATTTAATTCAAGTGTCTAATATATTTTTTCGAATTTTTAATATTCATTTAAGTCAAAAAACAAATTGTTCAGAGATGTCAATTAGACATTTGCTATTTTTGCTGACTCTCCCTACAAACTGTTTCAATTTTTGGGGAAGAAAATCTTTTCTTGCTACCTTATATGTGCAGAAAATTGAGTAAATAGTAGATTAATTGAGAAATAATCTTGTAAAAAAGAATAAAGATTGTCGAGATCAAATTAACTTTTGACAAAATCGAATTTGAAATTGGAGCTCATTTTAGTAGTTTATATGTTTACTAATAATTTTATCATGTAACTTGGGGTAGTGAAGGCAACAACACAAGAGGGTAAGTCCTTATATGATTACATTAACGCTAACAACCTCTGCGTAAGTAACGTAGGCTGCGAACCGACATTTGTTAACTCTAGAAGTCAAATACTAATAGACATCGCAATAACTACAGCGTATACATCTACTCTAATCCAGTACTGGTATGTGGCAGACAATGCCTCCACGTCAGATCGTTGATGAATACATTTTGAGGTCAATCTTACTAAGACTCCTACCAAACTGTTTTGGGATCCTCGAGGAACTGACAAGGAAAGATACCTATGTCACCTCGGGAAGAACCTAAGAGCAGAGCAAAGACAGGAGCCCAAGAACAATGGGGAAATTGAGGTATTTGCAAATACCGTACAATCTGGCACAAAAACAGTATTTGATGCATCCAGCCCTTTTGCAATGGGCATGGATGTACTGATGCCGCACCTGAAAGGGCTGTTCAGGTTGTGCTTTGCACACCACTACATCCCTAAGACTTGGAGGGAAGTGAAGGTTATATTCATCCCCAAAATAGGCAGGTTGGATTACACAACCCCAAAAGCATATCGACCTACCAATCTGACCCCGTTTCTGTTGAAAACGATGGAAAAACTGTGCGAGCGATATATGACAAACAGACAGTTACATCCCAATCAACATGCACATACCCCAGGGAGATCTACCGACACTACTCTCCACCTAGTGGTAGGCACGATCGAAAAATCCTTGGATAATAATGAATCCACCATGGGTGTATTTATAGACATAGAGGGGGCATTTGATAAGACGTTTCCAAAAATTAATTCAGCTCGGATGGAAAGAGGTGTTCCCCTCACCATATACAGATGGATATCAGGAAGACGGAGATGGTCCTCTTTACGAGGAAGAGGAAATTGGGGCCAATAAAGGCACCGACTCTTTTACACACCACGCTAAGCTTTGCAACGGATGTGAAGTATCTTGGAGTCACACTTGATGCAAAGCTAACATGGTATCTTCACTTGGAGAGAAGAATAAAAAAGGCGTACATATCCTATGAGCAGTGCCGCAGAACCGTTAGGAAAACCTGAGGGATGAAACTAAAGGTAATCATGTGGATGTACACTGCCATAGTGAGACCAATGTTGGCCTACGGAACTGTCGTCTGGTGGCCAAACACCCAACAGACAGCAGCTAAACAGAAGCTCAGCCAGGTGCAAAGAATAGCTTGCCTGAGCGTTACAGGAGCTATGCAAACAGCTCCAACGTTAACAATGGAAGTGATGCTATGTCTGCCGCCCTTAGATATTTATCTAAAGGAGGTGGCTCTGACAACTATGCTTTGCTTCAAGAACGTTGATGTTAAACCAAATGTAGGATGTGGAGAAATCAGATGTTGCCTATGGAATGAGGCCGTCAGGTCAAGATGCCACTTCTGCAGGCAGACACTGACAGCATTTCTCCTCAGTTTGTGTTTGACAGACCCTACACTGTACTCATCAAAAACAATGAGAGGTAATTAACATCTTCACTGACGGATCAAAAAGGAAAGAAGGTACAGAATATGGGATCTATTCTAGATCCCTACACATTCGATTTCAGTGGGATACGGACATACGTGCCACTGTGATACAAGCGGAACTGGCAGGTATAACCGTAGCTGCTAAAGAAATTTCCCGTAGGCAGATAACGGGCAAAAGTATCAGAATCTACACAGATAGTAGACAATCAGTACTGATCTTGCATAATCGGAAGATAATGTCCAGATCGGTATGGGAATGCCAGCGAGCGCTGGTGGTGGCCTCAGCTACCAACAGTATATCTGTATGCTGGGTTAAGAGACACGACCGGTGCAATGGCAATAAAGAAGCTGACAAGCTAGCTAGGAGGGCATCGGGTCGTACAATATTTGGACCCAGTCCTAGTCCAAGCATTCTGTCACGGCCTAATGTTAAATTTGCAGAAATTATTACCTGGACAAAAAAATATGACCGTATAGGAAATTAAATTTTAATTTGAGTTTTTCGTTCTTTAAACTCGATCCAAAATGACGAACATGGTTAAAAAAAAATCACAAAGTTGCAGAAAACGGTTTTTCTAAAATAACTAAGAAAATATAGTACCTATTGAAAAATTTTAAATGAGAAAGTTGTAGGTTTTAAAAAGATCTATCAACTGACTTTTTGTCGATTGCTTTGTTACTTTTCGAGATATATCGAAAAAACTGTTAAAAATCTTTTCTCTTCTTCGAAAACTCGTTTACATTTACGTTCCCATACTTGCTATTTACTGCAAGCGTAGCCCGCGGCAAGCCAAAAAAGTACATTTTTGAAAAATTTAAAAATATTAATTATTTTTCGAGATATATCGATTTTTTGAAAAAAAGGCGCTCTCGAAAATTGGCTAGATCTTCTCAGCGGATAGCCCTACAGTAACGATTTTCGGTTTATTTTCTTCGTAAAGAGTTATATTATCATGCTGTTAAAAAATGTTGACGATTTTATTAATTTTAAGGATCAAAAAATGACTTTGAATAAGTTGCACTTTTTTGGGTATGTTTTTTTCAAATTACTATTTCAATTTTTATTTTATGAAAATGACTTTTAAAGAAAGAAAACTAAACATTTACGGGTCTATTTTGCTTCTAAGGCGAAAATGCTATAATATTCGTGTTTAGCTACCCCAGATTAAGTACAAAAAAATAATAAAAATTGAAATAGTTATTTGAAAAAAACATACCCAAAAAAAGTGCAACTTTTTCAGTCATTTTTTGATCCTTAAAATTAATAAAATCGTCAACATTTTTTAACAGCATGATAATATAACTCTTTACGAAGAAAATAAACCGAAAATCGTTACTGTAGGGCTATCCGCTGAGAAGATCTAGCCAATTTTCGAGAGCGCCTTTTTTTCAAAAAATCGATATATCTCGAAAAATAATTAATATTTTTAAATTTTTCAAAAATGTACTTTTTTGGCTTGCCGCGGGCTATGCTTGCAGTAAATAGCAAGTATGGGAACGTAAATGTAAACGAGTTATAGAAGAGGAGAAAAGAGAAGATTTTTAACAGTTTTTTCGATATATCTCGAAAAGTAACAAAGCAATCGATACTTACAAAAAATCAGTCGATAGATCTTTTTAAAACCTACAACTTTCCCATTTAAAATTTTTCAATATTTTTTAAGTTATTTTAGAAAGACCGTTTTTTGCAACTTTGCGATTTTCTTTAACCATGTTGGCCATTTTGGATCGAGTTTAAAGAACAAGAAACTCAATTGAAAATTTAATTTTCTATACGGTCATATTTTTTTTGTCCAGGTAATAATTTCTGTAAGCATTTTTAAGGGTAACACCCACAAAGAGTTTAGAACACGGCGGATGAAATAAACAGCTGTCAATTTGCTAAGGAGTTCTTAGGCTACACCAGCAAAGACGCAGTCAAAAAATACCTGGTTATGTCCAGGGTAAGCCTTCATTTGGTAACGGGTATTCAGACCGGACACTGTTGGTTAAGGAAACACCTCTACATTATGAGGAAGTGCAAAACACCCCTCTGTAGAGGTTGTAAGCAGGAAGACGAGATAGTTTTCCATGTACTCGGCGAGTGTACTGGTGTCTCGTCAACGAGAGAATCTCTGCTAAGAGAACGGTGGCCTTCTATGGCCTACATGAGATACCCCTGAGCAACATCAACCTTTTTCTCCTTGATATGCTGGTTGACGGCCCAGGAGAGCTGATCTCTCGCTGGGCAGATGCACAAGGGGCCCAATGGGGCCTAGGTGCTGTAGCTCGGTATATTGAGCTAACCTCCAAACTATTCCAGATTTCAGAAAACTTTTATCATCTCATGTTTTACAACACAAGCTAGTTGTGCGATGGGCGTGTTAAAATTTTAAAACGCTGAACTGAAGTGTAAATGTACTATCTATCTACAATATTCTAACCATGCATGTATTCATGGTTGCCTAAATTTGGAAAAAATTTTCTTAATTTCAACTCAACTTTGTCGAACCATGTTCATTCAGACGTATTTCTAATATTTTTCATGGAGAAAATACGCACTGAAAAGATTTTTAGATTAAAAATTCATTCAAGTAATTTTTCTATTTAATAACTATTTCAGATTGTAATACAGGGTTTTCCAGGTTTTAATCGAAGAAATTTTATTACGAATAAAACTCTCAATAGAAAGAAAAGTTCATATGAACTAATATGTTTTAAAGTTTCAATTTCGAGACACAGGATGTTAAAGTTAATAAGAAAACACCTTTTTTCAAATATCCCAAAAACTTTTTGACCGATTTTAATAAAACTTGGCACATTTTTCAATAATTAGTAAGGGGTTTAATTTTATGCAATTAGATTTAATTTAGTTATTTCGGGGGTAGCGCTGGGGCATCCTAACTACATAGGTTTTAAAGAAAAATTATTTTTTAACATTGCGATTGTGGAATTGTTTCGATTATTGTCACAAAGGTTACAAGGTTCATTAGAAAAAAAAGATAGTCCATTTTATTAACGAAATTAAACTTTCTTTTCTGGGAGAACACAGATAAACAAAATTTATTTTTTCTCGAAAAGTAAATAGGATATACAAAAATCGCAATAGGCAAAAAAATTGTATTTTTAATTACTCAATATCAATATAACGTGAAACTTTTAAAATGGCACTGGCGTGCTTAAATTTTCTTTAAAATATTTGGTTAAATTAAATCTAATTACATCGAATCAAGCCCCTTACATATATCGGAAAATGTACCAAGTTATACCACAATTGGCTAATTAGTTTTTGATATATTCGAAAACAATTATTTTTTGTTAACTTTATCACCCTGCATCTCGTAAAGGAAGTTTTAAAACATAAAGTTTATATGAGCTTATCCTTTTATTGTGTGAGCTATATCGCTTATATAAAATTTCTAGAGTAAAACCTGAGACACCCTCTATATTAAAACCAAATTTAAAGATATGTTCATTGTTCATTGCTTATAAGACACAAAGCATAACTATTTTTAATTTTATTTGCACATAAAAAAGTATAAACGCTTTATTTGAAATACTTTTATAATTTTATGCTAGTTTTTATACCGGGTGTAACTTTGAAATAGCGCTTATAAAGGGGCTGTCCCGAAATTCATGCAACAAAATTTGGTCATAGATTCTTAAGACAAATTTAGGGGACCCGTATTTTTTCTTTTTGCCAAGTGGCCCCCTCTTTCGAAGTTACAGCCCCCTGAAGTCCGCCTCTAAGAATAATCTTTTCTTTATATCTCAGAACCCTGTTGTACAAGAATCACTAAATTTGGTACACAGGGATTTTATGACATGTGGAATCTGATAGTGCTACGGTTTTTGGCGGGGAACCCCCTTAAGACAATTTTTCGTGGACCCCATTGTCTTTGGAGCTGAAAAAATGTGATCGCATATTTAAATTTCTTAAAAATTATCAGTCCGCTAGAAAACCGTTAAATTTAGAAACTTTTTGTCTCCTGATACTTTTTTTGTAAAACGCAATGTTTTCGAGAAAAACGTCAAAATGTGATCGAATACATATCGTGTGATTCGCCATTTTCCTCAGAAACATTGCGTTTTACGAAACAAATAACAAGAGACAAAAAAATTTCTAAATTCAATAGCTTTCTAGTTAACTAATAATTTTTAAAAAAATCAAATTTGCGACCAATTTTTTCTGGTTCCAAAGACAAGGGGGCCCACAAAAAGGTGTCTTAAGGGGGTTGCTCGCCAAAAAGCGTAGCACTGTGAGATTCCACATGTCATAAAACCCATGTATACCAAATTTAGAGATTCTCGTACAACATGGTTTTGAGATATAAAAAAGACTTCTTAGGGGCAGATTTCAGGGGGCTGTAACTCCGAAAGAGGGGGCCAGTTGGCAAAAAGAAAAAATACGGGTCCCCTAAATTTGTCTTCAGAATGTATGACCAAATTTTGTTGCATGAATTTCGGGACATCCTGTATATACGGAGACAACACGTAATCATTAACAATTCAAAAGGGAGAGGAAACATGTTTTATTTTAGTATGTAGATACTAATCTAATTTAAATTTTAAAGGTTTACCAAAATTTGATAGAAATTAAAAAAGTACAAGCGCCAATGCAAATAAAAAAATTAGATGTAGGTACTTATATCGAACAATAAAAAAGAGTATGCTGCAAAAAGTGAAGACATAATTTCTAAGTTTTTATATTCCCCCATCTTTTCATTTAAATCAACAGGAAAAAAGTTTTTTCTTGTAAAATTTCATAGACAAACACCTTTTTCATAATTTGATATTCATTTTTACTAAGTATCAAAGTTAACTGTAACATCTGTAAATGTGGTAATCTCTATTAGACCGAGAGCCCGTGACAGAAAAAGAGAACAATTTTTTACAGGCTGCTATTGATTGGGGGTATATTTATAGCTACAAGCTGTCCAAGGTGTCTGAAGTATTACTGGCATCCTTGCAAGGGGTGGTTGTACAGTCAAAATAAATCAGATTTACCTAAATATATCTATATCTAAAAGTTCACCCTTTCCGAGATATAGGGTGTCAAAGATTTCGAAATTTTTATTATATTCTTTATTTTATTTACTTGGAAACCCTTCTTGATAAAACAAAAATAATTCTAGGTTGTAATGGAATACCTTTGGTCTACTTATTCAGTATGTTTAAATATTCCCATTATCACCAATGACGTAGAAACCCTGTGGCACTCTTTTAATTACAATAAAAATAGCACGGCACTGTCTTAGTTATAAAGAAACGTAAAATACTTTTAAGTTTTGGTTATTTTGAAAAAATAATTATCCTTTGAAATTTTCTTTAAAATGCATCATATTTAAAATATTCCTGCATCTCATAGTTTGTGCATGAAGTAGTAACATTTTCGGATT